ACAGTTTGCTGTCTTAGCCGATGGCTCACCATCATTGGTAATCGATTGGCTTAGGCTGACCAACTTGGGCCCCTCTTAGCCAATGGGTTACCAACATTGAAAATATGTTGGCGCAAGATATTAGGGTGCTTCGTTTTCTGGAACCGAGCCTTAAAAACGAGTGAAATGCTCTAGGCAACGAAAGTCACTGTTGTAAGAAGGCGTCTTGATAAAAAGGCTGCTAGGAAGACGCTGTAATTTAAAAAAAGTTATTCATTAATTAAATGTAACTGGCAATTATTTTTAAATACTTATTTGAGGGCAAAGGTGTCACTTGGGAAGTCGTATTTTTAATTGATTTTTTGATGAACGAGTTTACATGGTACGCACCAGGCAGCACACTTGATTAGACTAGCTATGGGGCCAAGATTGGGCCTTGGCCGTAGTAGATCTGGACCGGGACTGCCCAGTGAAATCGGAGAACAGCCAGCATGGCGTCTCACTGTATATTCCGGGCACCGGAATTACTCGGAACTGCCAGAGAAGGGATTCTCTTGGCGCCTTTTGTCTCTTTTCGGTCCGAGCCGACCAGAGTAGACAGGCGAGCGGCCACCAACATTTCAGACTTTTGTGGCGCTCACTGTATTCACTGGCCCCAGAATTCCACGGAACTACATTTTAGTGGTTTTGGGTGTAGTTTATTGGCTTTGCAGGATTCAGTGCGCCAAGGAACGACTGGAGTTGTCACGAAGCTCTCTAGAAAAGCGCAAGTCTCAAAAATCAAAAGATGAGTTCAATATAAGAGCGAGCCGAATGAGCGCAATATTAGTGTCATCAAATTGATCCCTCCATGACATTTACAGCATTCATGTCTCAAATCGCCACATCTGAAACTGGAAAACCCTGCGGGATAATTTTTCTACGCTTATTTTTCAACATCACGCATCCTCGCACCGCTTCATGTACTTCGCGGCATCTCTCCTTCAACTTGGAATGAACCGCAGCACATGCTATGGGCTCTCTTGGCCTATCAGGCGCCAAAAAGGTTGCGATGCTGCGCGTGAGAAGCGCCAAGCACTGGAACGGCTCCGGTCCGCAGGCGTTTGCAAGGTCTCAATGACAAAGCAGCCTCTTGCAACCAGTGAGCTAACGGTGCTCGGAATTTCCACGCTCACATTGCAGCAGAGTGAGCGCGGTCGGTCAGATCGAGGCGCAGTCGGTTCTCATGTCGCGATTGCTACGCCGTTGCCCTGTCTTGCACCGACATTCGAAACAGCTCGCTCGAGGCTGCATGCGGGCCAAATGGACGAGTCAATAGCGCGATATAGCGCCGTTACAACGTGTAAAAAAGAGTGCTCACCTCGACAGGGGCGCAAGCAGCGGCGCTATGTCCGTCGACGCCCACGTTGAGAACGACGAAATATACGTTAAAAACACTTTTTAACACCCGAAACAAATATTCAATTACTTAATCGTGAATATTTTGCCACCTTAGGGACGTCCTATTACCTCACTGTACAGCAGATTCCTCAAATATGCAGACACTATTCCTGATATTTTTCTTTTTTTACTATTCTACGATACGATAAGTCGTTAGCACTTTCGGGCCCAGAACCCCTCCTTGTGTTGCCATCGTTTTGTTAGATTCGTGTTTTTTTTTTTTTTTTTTTTAACTTCAACTTTGGGGATGTTTGCATCTGTGTTGAATTTATGATTACATGGTTTAAGAAATGGTTGAGTTTTTGTTACATTTACACAACCCTTGCGAAACAAAAAATCTGTTATTAGCGTGCTGCGAAATATACGGCACAGCTTATTTCTGAGTAATATTTTTTTTCTTTGTGGTTTCAGTTTATTTGGGGACATCGTGCGCAGAAAGAAGACGCAGTTATTTTTGCATTTTAGTTTATAGTGTTGGTTTTACGGCGTAAAACATAGCCTCTTCATACCTCCCGTTCTTGGTTAACATTTGGAAAGGGCAGTTCCTTTAGGAACTCCAAAAACTACCTCGGCGAGAACTTTTCTTGGCAATGCAGTGGAAAGGAGGAGAGCCCGCGCACAGCTTTATTCAGCGCTCAAAATGGGAGTGGGCGCGCGGGCCTGTATCTTCCAATCCACTGCCAAGAAACGTTTTCGCCGAGTAGCCGTCGTGCTGCTGTCCTGTTCACTCGGTATTGACAGCCGAGTAGACGCTATACGTATTTTAGGCTAAGCGTGTCTCCGGTTGCGGTCACGTGACTATAGTCTCCAAGCGGGTCACAAGGCAGAGCACGGCACCTGCCTGAAGGACACTGCTTGGTAGACCACTCACATAGCATCCATTGCACCAAATACCGTGGAAGCCAATACTGGCAACTCCCGCGAAAAACGGGCGAAAAGTGATTGCAGCGCCCCTGGCGAGCTCGGAGTCTCCGCTAGCAGCCAAAATTTCCAAAATGCATGGGTTTTGCCTATGTCCGTGTGAGGTGACCAACGAAAAAAAAAATGTCACGGACATTTGCTGCTTTGAAAGTTAGAAAATGGTTGCCAGCTCATGAGTGAAGGACATTCTCTTCGCGTGGAAATGATGTTACAGCTTTCTGGGTGCAATTTCGGAGTTCTCCCGAAGAAAACATTCTGTCACAACTTATCTAAGCCAAGCAAAACACGAATGTATGCCTTCGCGCTGTTTCGTGAAAAAGGGAAATGTACAAACATTTCAGAACATAGCTTCGTTTCAACTTTATTCTTCTTATCTATCAATTCGTTTTGTCGTTGCAATTCCCATTTCTCATGAATGTCTTGCTTATAGCCGTTTCGTCGAACAAGCGAGCTGGCTAATCCCGTTAAGATCGTCTCCGGATGAAGAAGCAGAAGTCAATTTCGAACCACGTACGTTACGGCGATGTCAGTATGCTCCGAAACAAGTCGTTGTGCATATGCAAATCTGACGCGATTATAGATTAACAAAAGCGGAGTTACGAAAAAAGCAGACTTCTCGCGCTTGCAAAGAAAGAAGGGGAGAGCGTCGTAGCCACGCGAGAAAAGGTGATTTCAGTCACGTTATGCAGTGCACAAATTCCGATTGCTAGCGCGGGGACGACCAACATCTTCTGCTTCGCTGCTTCTTTGTTTCTACGATAAAGGCCGACACCCGTTGAACCGACTCCACTCTTTCCATTTTTGAGTCTTCTTTCTTTTATATTTTTGATTCGACGCCACTCTGCCGCGTTATTTCGTCCTCCTGCTTATATGTTGCTGTGTATATTTCTTGTTCTCTTTTTGCTTTTTTCTTTCGCCCGACGCGTAAACTATCGCGTATCCTTGCTTTGTTTGGCTTAGTTTTTGCTCCCTTTTCTTCGCTTCGGCGCTTACTACCCCCGGTTTGTCTGCGCTAGGCCCGGGCATTTTGAGGGCCGTCTGCAACTTTGCTGTTGTTGTTTTCTTCCACTGTCGTCTGCGATAACCTCCTATCTTCGCCTTCGTTTGAGTTTCTAATCCAAAATCGGGATACGTGCTTTTTGATATTTATTAAATATATTAAGAAGTGTAAGCTCCTTACCCATTTTTATTCGAATTTTATTTGTGTACTCCGGCCGGCACGTCTGCTACGGGTCATCGTTTGTTGATCAACCGGCCGCATTCAAGAACAAGTTTGTGCGATGTGGTGCCTGCCATTGCAAGGACAAGTTTGTGCGATGTGGTGGAAAATCTTTCTTCTGCTTCCTACGTCAACCTACGGACACCTACTTCAACAAGTACTTGAATGCACTTTTAAACTGCTTCGTCAAGCGAGCGAACGAACAACCCGCCAAAGTCACTGGAAAAAGAAATTCGAAAGCAAAAAAAGGTTACTCACTGCTAGCACATATAGGAGATTGCTGCCTGCGACCAAAACATTTCTGCGACCCTTTTTTACCGGGCAGTGTGAGCTGCACTACGTTATTTATATCCCCTGTTTTGTTTTTAGTTCGTACCTACGCCGCGAAAGCAAATAAAGAAATGTACAACAAGCAGCTGGAAAAAAAAGGGTCGCTTTCTTCTTTTTTCATTAGTTTCGTCTGTTGCTTCCGCTTTGTTTGTCGTGAACTCAACACCGGTGGCGAACACCAGCTATTCATTTGCTGCTTTCCATTTTTCTTTCTTTTTTTCTATAAGCGCCGCAACGATCGTCCTCGTTGAAATAGTTGAAACGCGTGTGATCCCCTGAGAGGCGTTTGAGACCGCTAAATAAACTGCTCTATCTTTGTTTATGCGCGCGTTGTTATTCGATTGTCGTTGCAGTTGCGATCAGTGGATTCCGCTTTGCAAGCGGACTGACCGTAATAAATTGTTTCTGCTGTTAGGGTGACGATACGGGGCTCGTAAAGCTCGAGGACGTCGCGGAGCCTAAACTTTTCCATTGCGACGTCTGCTTCCGTAGGCTCCGAGTCCGCTAGAGGCGCCACTGTCACGTTCGCCGCCGCTGCTATGTGTTTTCGTAGGAGTTTCCAGTATTGGCGAAGCTATATCGCATTTGCCTGGATTGAGCGCTCCAGGCCTCGGTCCGCCTACGCACGACATAATCTACACTGACATGGCGGAAACCTTGCTCTCGACTGCCGGCGACGACAGAACCCCCAATCACGTCTAGGCGGTCGCGTGGGTCGACACCTCCCATGGCATTCCGAACGCGGCTGCACTTTCGACCACTGAAGAAGTCGACACTTCGCAAGCGGAACTCGTGGCACTCCTCCGAGCATCCCACTGGGTTCTTCAAACGTTTGCACCAACAGACACCAAGCACACGCTCCTACTGTTCACCGACTCGACCCGCGCGTACAAAACTTGCAGACGAGCGTACGGGAGCCCCTCAACGTACACGGCAATAGTCGGCGAGTCGCTCGCCACGTTCCTAGAACTTCGAAACAAGCTCAACATCCAAGCTACTATTTCCTGGGTGCCTGCCCATGCGGGCATCGGCGGCAACTAGTGGGCCCAAAGCAAGGCGCGAGCAGCAGTTCGCCAGATGACATCCGCGCCGAACGCATTCCACAACTCAGCCGGCGAGGCAGCCGGCGGGCCGACCCGTCTGCCGTCAAGGAAAGTGCTAAACACCAAAGGCGGAGAACCCTGCGGCACCTACGTGAGGAACGGGAGGAACGCCCAGATGAGCAGTTCCGTCCCGTTCCTCCGATGCCGAATGACCTACCGAGGAGCACTCAGACCCTCGTCCGTCGCCTCGCGACCAACACTGCCCTCTCCCCGGCGCTGCGCCATAAGTTCTTGAGCGACGACCCCCACGAGGGGGCGTGTCGCCGGTGCCGCAGGACCGCGACGGCTGCCTTTGTTGTCTGGGAGTGCAAGCGTCATGCTCGCCTTCGGAAAACGAAACTGGAGGAACTCCCAGACGAGATCCGTCCGGCGACGTACGTCGATTGGATTTTGCCCACCAGTCGTGACAGGACGATCGTCTTCCTGCTGTGGACAAAGCTGGCGGAGTTCGTCTACGACGACGGCGGCCCCGGCGGACGATTTTGCAGCAGCAAAAGGCGCTGGGACCAACACCCACCCACACCGCCGTGACGGCAATGGCGGATCCTTAGGCCCGCACCGATGCAGGCGACAATGGTGCATTATATGTGTGTATGGTATACATATCCATATATTATATATAACAGGGCAATAAAGAACGTTCCAACTATAGCAACAGCAACCCTTGAGTAAACTTTGGCGTTTAGTGTTGTACTTGGCACTAGTGTCAATTTGTTCCCAAACGCTTGCTGAAAAGGTTCATTATTAGAAGTGAAGTGAAGATACGTGACAAGAGTATATGATAACCTGTTACCGTTTTAATTCATGAGTTTCGTCGTCTACTACGAAATCATTGACACGTTGTACGAGTTAAAAAATGTAGTTACACATTTCTCTCGAGCCTCGTCCTTCATACATAAATTTTGTCTCGTTGATTCCGAGTCCTGATATTTTTGCATGAGGGGTAAAATAAACCCTCCAACAAAATGTGACACCCTAACATGCAGTGATGGTCCAAGAGGGTCGTAGCAATCATCGACTACAGAATTAATAGCAGCAAGAAACCATTGTCCTTCTTTTTCGTACATCAAAGGTCCCCCGCTGTCTCCCTGAAAAAAAACAAAAAAACAACAAAGAATGTTTTGATATTGAACTTTTTTCGGAAAACTTACATAAATAAAGCGGAGATACCATTGAAACAAATTCCTCCAGCTGATTCAGGGCAGCAAATTGGTGAATCACGGCATACTAACTGCCTTCACTTTTTCGGAACATTTTTTTTTGTTGCAATATTTTTATACGTTTTTGGCCCCTACGTTCTGGTGAGAAAAAAAACAAAAAAAAACCAGTAGCTGAAGTAAAAACGCTCGGGACACCAATTAGTAATCTGCATGCGAAGAAGATTGTACAGCAATTGTATCTTTTTTTTAGATGAATGATGATACCGAGACAGCATGCATTCTGGGGTATACGGCAATACCACCATGAAACAGTCCGAACGTACTCTCTACCATTTTATAAAATTCAAAACGAAGTGTATTAAATTATTTCTGAGACGTGGATAAACGAAACCCGTTTATGTCGCGTCAAGTACACAGGCGAACGAGGAGACCGATGAGGTTGAACTTATCGCGATGAGTACGGACAGAAGTACAAGAGAGACATCATTCAACTTCTCCGCAATTCTGGTTTATAGTGAACTCCATTGATAATATGGTAGGTGCGATTTGGTGTCCGTTAAAGGTGGGCCTGGTCATGAAGTGCTTCTTCTGACAAAATTCAAAGTGCCCGCCTTAAAATTCATGTGCTAAACGCTGCGTTTAGGGGCCCGTTGAGCACGCTGCATAGAGCCATTGGGAATAAGAGACGCTTCAGGCTCTCTTCTGATATGGTTTTGTTACTCGATAACGCTGGTCATCATGTTGCAACCATTGTACTGGATGGATTAGCTCAGATAGGGTGGGAGGTTTCCTCTATCCAGATTATATTCCGGACATGTCACCATGTGACTTTCACTTTCTCGAACCCTAAGGAGAGGCTAAAAGGACCACAATTCTACTCGAAAGGGCACGTCATTGCTGTTTTTACCAATGGTTCAAAAATACAACAGAATCCTTTTTCGTGAGTGCTATCCGACAACCTCTCCAAGCAGGGAGAAGCACGCGAGAATGCGTGCAGTGGCTTCTCTGACACAACACTGGTGAATTCCTGTTTTCTTCCACAGGGTGTTTACATTTGACTTGAACACGTTTCTTTTTTTAAAAAGGCGAGAGTTACACGGGTGTTGTCTTGAGCTTGAACTTGTCAAGCTGTGTGGACATAGGATGAAATAAACGTCACAATAATGCGGCTAATTAGCCATTATAGGTCAAATTGTAAGAAGATGTTTTACACAGTATGTAACGATATAATCTGTACTGGAATAATTCTATTTTAATTTAATGCATTTAAAAAAATGAAAGGGATTTCGAGAAATCAACGGATAATTTTTTTTTTCAGTTTCCTTTTTTTGCCAGATTTTAAAACTGAACTTTTATAGAGCGCCGAAGCCCTGCTCACAATGCCGCTAGAAAAGTGACGTTGGCTTTTCAGTCGTTACTCTTACGGCACTGTGTCGACGGCGCAGTCATCGTGGATGTGCTGCTGAACTAGTAATGACGTGACTGAAATGAACACGTGCATTCTCCTAAGCGTCATTGTGGACGTTTGCGGCGTCATTTTATCGCGTACATTCAAAACTGCCCCTCCATTACCCCTCCCCCTCCCCCCCCCAAAAAAAAAATATACAGGAACCGAAATCGAAGAGTGATCGACGCCTAAAAGGCCATTATCCTGTCGCAATTTCTTTTAAATGTGTGTGGCCTCCTATATTACTTACCGCCGATACTGCGATTCCAACATCCATAAAACAAATATTTAAAAGTGAAGTATTAGTTTTTAGTGAATTAGCTAACTTGCCGTGACGGTTTCTTCCTTATCTGATGCCCGCCAAGCCTGATAATTAAATGGGGAAGACAGCACTCGTTCGACTGTCGTTCTGTTTTTAAGACAAGTATATTTGTATCAAAATCAAATTAACAACATGTATAATGCTCTATCTACTTCTACCCCATCTGCTGATGTACAGTAAATTATTGTTCGTTTTAATAAAGGCACACGAAGGTGTCTCTATTGATAACGCTTTATATTTGACGAGTTTTAAAACAAATATATTCATTTCTTTGTTTCGACGATCACAAATGTACGCTTTGTGCAGCTCTAGCGGTTGCAACAACGGATCGTGAATACTTCACTGAAACGTTCACGAAAGCTGAATTCAGAGGCACAGCCTTGCTTACATTTATCATTTCCGTTCGCATCGATCATCCTGTGAGTTTCTGCTCGGTTTCTTCTTGCCAAAATGTATAGGAAGCAATTGGCAGCTAAGGGCGCTCACCCTCGCTCTATAAGACTCGTATCACTATCCTACCGGGTTCAATTGAGAAAAGCGGCACACGGTTTTAGGGTTTGTGCAAATAAACTAGGCATCGCCGAAAGTTTAAACTTCATGACAATGCAACGCTAGTGCTAATGACAAAACGTGAAATTTTGAGATCGCATTACCTTCATCAAAAGAAACGAGAGAAAAAATAAATTTGTTTGTGAGCCGACGCTCACCTAAGCCAAATATTCGTAAATTCAAGAAAATGGCACTGTGGGTGTTTGTTGAATTTATTTAAGAATTGTGAACAAGTAAAACAATAATAAGGTGGTAAATTGGGCCATTTGGTTGGCGTCATTCATGATGGGGAATACAGTTCAGAAAACACAGACTACGAAGAGGAACATACACAACATACAGCATTGTCCTTTACTGTATGTTCCTCTTCGTAGTATGTGTTTCCTGAGTTGATTTCTCCATAAAATAAAGCAATGTTTGCTGTTTTTTGTTTGCTTTCTTTGCTGACAATCTTATTTTTTTAATACTAAAACTAATGCTACAGGTATTTAAGATGTTAATTTTTGCTTTTATAAATATTAAGCTTAGGTGGACGTCAGCCCATATTTGTTGTTCATTTCTTGGAAGTATTTTATGAAAGTAACGTCCTGCTTTTAACATTATGCATTATCGCACAACTAGCGTCATGTTCTCACTGAGTTCCAGCTTTCTACGATGAAGAGTCCATTGATCTGGGCCGATAGCCCATTTTTTTTCTTGTTTTTCTATGGGACGTTTTTATTCTATGGTTTAATACTAGTCTTCAATAAAGACTTCAACTGTTTTGGCCAGCAGCTGTAACACAAGGTGAGCCCTGTGCAATTCTTTAGATTTCTTTACACTTGATCCATTCTCAAAGTCTGGTGCCAGGTATGTCGCAATGTTAACTTGCCAATTGCAGAACATCTACTGGATAAAAGTACGAAAACAACCATAGCGTTTTCAGCTTGTTTTAGAAGGGATCAGTCCAATACAGTTTCAAAGAATTTTAACAGAATTTGCGATGCCTCTTTTTTAATACCCAGTTCCCATTACCAAACTTTCTTTTAGCGGGAAACTGAACCAATATGTAGGTTTTCCGAGCTTTGTCGGGTTCTTAATTTTTTTACATGCAAAAATACGGGTGAAAGTTCAATCGGAAAAGTTATAGTTCAATTTAGTTTCAAATGCATGCGCGCGTCTCATGGTACGAGGAGTCATTTAATATTCCGTGGAGTTGACGACCAAATAAATTTTATCCTCAGAGAATAATACAATAATTCATACTTACATAACATGTTCCCCCATTGGAGCATAGAATGTAATTTGGAACAGTTGTGGCAAGTTGTCGTTCGCACTGTTCGTTAGTAATTAAGGATATATTCCTTTCCATCAAGGTTTCTGGGTGAGAACGTACTAAAAAGCGCTCCAGTTCCGATGATGACGCATCTTTCGTTTCTTCTGCTGAACTCTCATAATCTACGGTATCTTTGACGTCTTCGTTAGGTTCGTTTAATGATTCATTCATATCATAATAATCTGAAAAGAAAGTGTAAAACCGAAGATTCTTATTAGGAATGTGCACCGATGAACAATGTTTCACCGTTCTTTGGGTGGCCTACATCCGATTTGTAATCGTTTAATATTTATAACGCGGAGGTTCATATAAGTGAACGTATGTACCCAAAGTAAAAATATAAAACTATACATTTAAAAAAAAATTTGAGATTGGTATATAGGTTTAGCCATGCAAAAAGAATACATCGTTTAGGAAAGAGTTACAGGTTCGTAAAAAAATGTATGAAATACAAACGGGCTTTTAAAGAAAATAGTAAAAAGAATACGTTTAGGCTTTTAGTTTTCAGAATAATATGTTTGGTCAAAAACAGCGTTAAACTTGCTTTGATCATTCTGAGAAAACCCGGTAAACACAGAATCCGTCTAACGAGAGTCATGCGTGCGCCATGAATGTCTCTGCTGGTTGCGGGGAGCTTTGGGTGGTTTCGGATGCACTGCGCACTCAACATACACCTGTGATCTTCGGATTGATCAGAATAATCACAAGTTTAAACTTCTTCAAGAGTAGAGCTCTTTACATGCACGGTTTAATGATAAGTTTTCCTGGGCATCCGTTTTTTAATGGGCCGGTGTAGGGTCTTA